CCCAACGGTCTGTATATAGCACGTATAGATCCTCACCCACGGTCTGTATATGGCACATTTAGATCCCCACCACATGGTCTGTATGTAGCACGTATATATATCCACCCACGGTCTGTATATAGCACGTAAAGATCCCCACCCCTGCGGTCTGTATATATCACTATAGATTTCCACCCTACGGTCTGTATATAGCATGTATAGATCCCCACCACACGGTCTGTATAAAGCACTTTAGACCCCAACCCCACGGTCTGTATATGTCACGTATAGATCCCCACCCATGGTCTGTATATGTCACGTATTGATCCCCACCACACGGTCTGTATATGTCACGTATACATCCCCACCACACGGTCTGTATATGTCACGTATACATCCACACCACACGGTCTGTATATGTCACGTATAGATCCCCCCCACACGGTCTGTATATGTCACGTATAGATCCACACCACACGGTCTGTATATGTCACGTATAGATCCACACCCACGGTCTGTATATGGCACATTTAGATCCCCACCACATGGTCTGTATGTAGCACGTATATATATCCCCCCACGGTCTGTATATAGCACGTAAAGATCCCCACCCCTGCGGTCTGTATATATCACTATAGATTTCCACCCTACGGTCTGTATATAGCACGTATAGATCCCCACCACACGGTCTGTATAAAGCACTTTAGACCCCAACCCCACTGTCTGTATATGTCACGTATAGATCCCCACCCATGGTCTGTATATGTCACGTATTGATCCCACCACACGGTCTGTATATGTCACGTATAGATACCCACCACACGGTCTGTATATGTCACGTATAGATCCTCACCACACGGACTGTATATAATAATGTCACGTATAGATCCCCACCACACGGCCTGTATATGTCACGTATAGATCCCCACCACACGGGCTGTATATGTCACATATAGATCCCCACCACACGGTCTGTATATGTCACTTATAGATCCTCACCACACGGTCTGTATATAATAATGTCACGTATAGATCCCCACCACACGGCCTGTATATGTCACGTATAGATCCCCACCACACGGGCTGTATATGTCACATATAGATCCCCACCACACGGTCTGTATATGTCACGTATAGATCGCCACCAATGGTCTGTATATGTCACGTATTGATCCCCACCACACGGTCTGTATATGTCCCGTATAGATCCTCACCACACGGTCTGTATATAATAATGTCACGTATAGAGTCTGTATATAGCACGTAAAGATCCCCACCCCTAGGTCTGTATATATCACTATAGATTTCCACCCTACGGTCTGTATATAGCATGTATAGATCCCCACCACACGGTCTGTATAAAGCACTTTAGACCCCACCCCCACAGTCTGTATATGTCACGTATAGATCCCCACCACACGGGCTGTATATGTCACATATAGATCCCCACCACACGGTCTGTATATGTCACTTATAGATCCCCACCACACGGTCTGTATATGTCACTTATAGATCCCCACCACACGGTCTGTATATGTCACTTATAGATCCCCACCACACGGTCTGTATATGTCACGTATACATCCCCACCACACGGTCTGTATATGTCACGTATACATCCCCACCACACGGTCTGTATATGTCACGTATACATCCACACCACACGGTCTGTATATGTCACGTATAGATCCACACCACACGGTCTGTATATGTCACGTATAGATCGCCACCAATGGTCTGTATATGTCACGTATTGATCCCCACCACACGGTCTGTATATGTCCCGTATAGATCCCCACCACACGGTCTGTATATGTCACGTATAGATCCTCACCACACGGTCTGTATATAATAATGTCACGTATAGATCCCCACCACACGGTCTGTATATGTCACGTATAGATCCTCACCACACGGTCTGTATATAATAATGTCACGTATAGATCCCCACCACACGGTCTGTATAAAGCACGTAAAGGTCTCTACCCTGCGGTCTGTATATGTATCCAGTTGGTACATATATAACACATATACATGTATAACGGGTTACAGACCTTGGGGTAGGGATCTATAGGTACAATGTATTCTATACAGATCGAATGGTGGGGATCTATATATATGCTCCTTTGAATACATACTGTTATTACATCGATTAAGAAATACTTATACCAGTACTATGGGCAACTTGTTTCTGGAAATGCTGTTGATTTGAGCCAGAATATTCATGCCAAGATTGTGAGCTGTTTCTGGTGCTAATGAACATGCTAAAGAATATTATAAAGTGTGATTTGGCCTTTTCCCTGTACCATTTCAATGGTATCATTTAAACGTTAAAATGCAAATTGAACTACGAAAAGATTCTACACTTTTCTCCCCTTGTCTACAGTCCAGGCCCACTTGTATAAAACATCTCAACTCTTGAGATTTCCTCAAGTCTAAAATTACCCATAGACAATACATTGCTTGAGATTTTCCTTAACTTTGAGATGTTTTATACAAGTGGGACCTGGTCCCTTAAGGGTATCGGCATACAACTATAGAAACATAAGTGAACGCATACCACAGCAGAAACACGCCATGGCTAATGTTTGAAAACAGAAACGGAAAATTCAGTGGAAAGAAACGAAATAAACACCACTATACCAACAATGCAAGTCATGATATAAATTAAATACGAAGCATGTCCAACAGACGCATTGAGTTTCAAATATTTAGAATATCTGATCCGAATCACATATTATAACAGGGAAGTACGAGACACATTTTTTTATTTTTTTTTACACAATTATTTTGTTCCGTGAGCAACAGACATATCAGTATCTATGTCTATGTCGAAGTTATTTCTGCGGATAATACCTGTACCAAGAATATATATATAGGAAACTATATTTATTTTACAACAATAACGAAACAAGCTATTGACAACTTATATTGTTGGTCCGGATGTTAGTGCGCGGTGAGTTTTAATGTTGGAGGAAACCGGAGTACCCGGAGAAAACCCACGTGACCGGGAAAGTGACCCCGTACATTTTCACGTTCGATCGGGGAATCGAACCCCGGCCGCTTTGGTGAAAGGCCAGTGCGCTATCCACTGCACCACCCGACCACCCGAAAAAATATATATACATGTAGTAAGCCAACTACACATTATCAAGAAGCCATGCTTTTGTGTGTTTTATGCGCATTAAACGTCCATTCCGACCGACTGTAATACGCTTATTAAGGCATAGGGTTTCTCCTTGCTCTAATGGACGGGATGTACTATCAAATGAAAGGGTTCGAGGTTTACCTTGCCTCGTCGTGCAAAGTCAATACCTAGGTTTAAGCACATGATAAATAGCGTGACACGTGATAGCTGTTTGACAGAATATTGATTTTTAAGACAGATACTTATGTGTTCATGTCCAAAACTATTTTTATCCATTTATCTTCTGAATTTTCTCTCACTGCTGGTATTTATTGGACGTTCAGGACATCGCTAGTACCAGTAACATAGCCATAAAGGTTTACTCTACAAACACTAGATTCTTGCCGAATCAACCAAAACCAATCATTATCCTTTAATCCATTATGGACTAAACTTAATCACTGAGTAAACGGGTACGATGATTTATAAATCATTTGTATTAATCAACTACAGGTCCCTACGCTGTTACGGAAACACCCGTCATCAACGAGATCGGGATTTTCCCGGAAAGTCGGTCAATCGATCGATCGATGCTTGATTCAGACCGGAAGATCGTGTCAGAAAGACTAGGCGTCTTAATCACGTGATATGTCAATCTTCATTATTTTTATCTACTGATCATAACAACTGTTTTACAATACAAAAGTTTTTTCTTTCTTTTTTTTGAAATGTTAAATCACGTAAGAATCATCCGATGCTGGTACCTCAATGAGGTGGTCTTATTTACATGTATGCGTTTCAGATAAGAACACGGGGTTGAAAACCCAATAAAACATGTTATATGGGAGACTCTGGCATTGAAACAAAATTAATACTTGTTTTAATGATATGTAGTGGTTTGTTATCAACAATATATAAGCCATTTATACATTGCTGTTTTACATTGTTGTTTGTTATTAATCTAAATTTGTTTCATGACAAGATTCGTTTGTCTACAGCATACATGTACATCGATAAATACATTTCATTTCTGTTATTGCTCATGCGAGTCCAGAAAATACATATTTGCGTGTTTCGGATTTTTTTTCTTGTGGAATATAAGGTAGAAGCGCGTAATATAGGACTGCGGCATTCACTGGACATCGTTAAGGTCAAACGTCCTTAATCCGACCCACCCTTATCAGACGTCATACATATTGGTACTCACAAGTGTTATGTATACGAGTATGTTCCACACAACGTACTGAGGATCTGTCAGCCAGCTGTTTATCTGTAGAAGTACTGATAAAGGTACTTGACACACATGTATTGATGATGTAGACAACGTTCCATCAATTAATCGCCCCGTAGTATTCGGTCACTCTTCATTCATGGTAATACTACACGCGTAATAGAAATACTTCATGAGTTCTTATTGAAATTGGATTACAAAATTCAGTGACATTGTAACGATTATAAATGAAATAATCGATAACAACATAAAAACACATTATATGACCCAACTGATTCATCGATAATCATAACTACAGTTGACTAATTTTAAAACCGAACGCGGCCATACGAAACGCCAGAGTCCAAATCAAACTGCCCGAAAAAATGGTAAGATCTTGAAGGATTTTTTATGAAAACATGTTGTAAAATACAAGAATAAGAATAAGATCTTTTTATAACTGCTTCCTCTCGGAAACGCATTGAAGCACATCGATACATACATTTTATACAATATTGGCTCTGGAAACGACTGGACCGGAAACACGCGATGTTTATGAGGGACCCGTTTACGTTTCATTTTCCTTTATATCTGATCATAGTAATACTACATAGATAGTTAGCCCTAATAAGAAAACACACAATTATTGATTCCTCCCATTCACCACCAGCTAGCTGTACTTACGTTTTCCCTCCTCTATCAGCCGACCAAAACGACAAACACACTGTTTAGTCATCAACCATGATCCGTCATATTCTTTGTTCAGCAGCGTTCACCACACAAACAGTCATCCTATGGCGCGCTGGCCATCATAACTTGAACATGTCCTTCACAGTTCGTCCACACGCCTCGGGAAATGCACGTCCATTTCGTAGGCTAGTACGCGACACTGGACATGTATGTGATCTGTGGTTGGGTTCGCCCGTAGTGAGACTAGAGAGCTCAGCCTCCGTACCGCGTAGTTCAGCAGCAGCAGTTTTCTGATCGATTTTAGTCCCAGTAATTGCTCCAGTAAAATTATTACGATACTTGCCGATCTTGGCATGCAAGGAGATACTAGAAATTTAACACTGAAACTCTTAACGAGAGCTGACTTCCGCGTCCCCGAGAGGCGAGAGGTTTATTGTCTCTTCCAAAACCGCATTTTCTTATTCTGTTTGTATTAAATATACATGACTTCTTATCTAATAAATAAGAGGTCCGGAGCATTTCAATGAAATCTTGCCAAGCGTTTGCTATGCCCATTCTACCGTGGGGAAAGACTCTCGACGGTGTCTGGTCAGACGATATCGGAAACACTCGGACTTATAGCATAATCAACTTAAATGTTCTGTTTTGTTTTATATGTCGGATATTACAGTGTATTGAATAACAATGGAAAGTGTCTACAAATATTTTTTGTTCAAGTTTTGAATATTTTTAAAATTAGTGTTTGGTTATTAAAATCAGTATAGCATATTTATCATTTTATCTCTGCCATATTTAAAATATTACAGACGTTGCTCACCCTGTTGGTTTTCCGCATGCTCTTGAGACATATTATGCTTCAAACACTTGCCGCGATTAAACTAAATCATAAGTACTAGAAAATAAAGAAGATAGAACCAAACCATTACAAATAATTGATTTTATTACTATTTTAAAAACTCTTGCAACAAAATCATGTCAATCATTTAAATGGTAAATAACTTGAATCAACACAGTTCGATGCATAGGAACGCCTATAGTCTCATGGGGCACATAGCTCCGAACCGATACGGTCAGTTTGACAGAAGTGCCTTTCTTCGAGTCGGTTCAGTCAGATTATCAGTGCAACGGCACTTCCAAGTATCTAGTTCCAATTCGGCACGCAAACTTGCTCGAGTGTCTCTCTCTGTCTCGGCATGGTCATTTTGTGGTAGGTACAAGCTCCAAATTTAGAGGGCCAGTTTGACAGAAGTACTGTCTAAGCTCCAAATTCAAACGGATAATCTGGCAGAAGTTCATAGCTCCGAAATGGAATGGCCAGTCTGTGACAGTGCACAGCTCCGAATCGTCATGGTCAGTTTTGACTTTAGTGCCTAGCTTAGAATCGGCCTTGCTAGTTTGACAAACGTGCTTCGATCCGAATCGTCATGGACTGTTTGAGAGATTTCCCTCAACATGGTCAGTTTGAGGAGAGTTCAATGACTTGAATCAGCACGGCCTTTACCGTGTCTCTTCGATATGAGAAATAGTTTTCATCCAAAAGACTCTAGAGACGTCAGTCGTGAAACATTCTAGGAGTTCCTGCTGATTTTCCCTGCATGCGTATTCATCAGTTATCAGCATCTATAATATTATAGTTCATAATTTACCTGAATTCAAGCCGCGTTCAGGGTGAATCAAATTTTAAAACAACAGTACAGGTCATAAAGAATTGACCATTACTAATCTAACCTCCTTGTCCAATCTAAAGCTGAACAGTCTTATACCTCGGTTCCCTGACCATTCCTTAAGCGAAACGCGTCCCCTTGTATTTCTTTATGTCCGTTGTTGTTGGAACCGGAAGTCCTGTGATGGGCGGAAGTATAACGTTAAGTACAGGGTGAAGTGTTGGTTCGTGCCGGGAGATGTGACGAAGAGGCTGTCCTACCGCGGAAATATTCCCTATCCGAGAGGTCCTCTTGTTGCATTTGTCCGTCAAAGACGGCAACGCTATCTTGTTCATTTTATGGCCCAGCTTGTCCTGTGTAAATTGCTCTGAGCGGTTAGTGCTGTCCAGATATCCTTTTGTGACGTTTCTCTTCTTATCTACGGACAGGCCAGCCACACTTATCGGAGGAAGTTCTGAAACAGCAGGTTTCGGTGCTACCGCATTACGCCAATAGTCATTTGTGTTTGTTAAGAGTTTCTCTGTCATTTCTTGTTTTGGCGGTATTGCCTTCTTGTCATTCTGAGACATATTTTCAGTATTTGTTGAGCTGATCGGAGGAAGTTTCATTACATTCCTATCTTTTAGAATGTCCTTTCTCTCAATATTGTTCCAATTTGTTTGGCTTACGATCCTGTCATACTTCTTTGTTTTCCTTTTCCCGAAGGACACCGCGTTCCCGTTAATTGGTGGTAAGACGCCGTTCTTCTGCTCGCCCAAGATTTCTTCATCAGGGAATTTTGAGTCAACGACATCACTACTGAATCGGTTGAAGAAGACATCATTTTTTCTATAAGCCTCGTATTCTGCATTCTTCTGATCAATCTCAGCTAGAAGCTGGTTAATGCCCGCGTCACGAGTTGTAGCAACAGGAGGACGGTTTGATGCTGTGGTGGTTTTACTTGTCTTAGTTTCTTCGATCTGCTTCTGAGCATCATTAATCACTTCCGGTCTCTTCTCATGTTGTCTGCTTATTCGAGGTAAAGCCGGTGCGGGCTTCCCTTTAGCATACAGTCCGGGAGTCAAGGTCTCGCGATTCTCTAGGAAAACGGAAACTTCTGTTTTCTCAGAATTTACATCAGTCTTGGCCTTTTTCTTGGCTCGACGACCCTTTTTGACCTTGCGGTCGACTTTTTCCTCTTCTCCAGTGACTGTCGTTTCCTGTGGTTTGGATTTATCGCCACTTTCACTTTTGGACGATTGCCTAGTAGGGAACTCTCTCGTGTGAAGGTTCAATTTAACAGCCATTTCGGCACTTCTTCGTTTTCCCGCCAAAGTCATGGCGCCATTATACCCAGGAGGAAAGTTACCAGCTTTGCCTCTTGGTTGCCTCTTGATACCAAATTGAAGATCTGGAATGACAGGAAGTAAACAGTCTTCGATTAATACCGATNTCGGAAACACTCGGACTTATAGCATAATCAACTTAAATTTTCTGTTTTGTTTTATATGTCGGATATTACAGTGTATTGAATAACAATGGAAAGCGTCTACAAATGTTTGTTGTTAAAGTTTTGAATGTTTTTTGAATAAGTGTTTGGTTATTAAAATGAATGTTACTTTAATGGCATATGTGTCACCCTGTTGGTTTTCCGCATGCTCTTCAGAAATATGATGCTGCAAACACTTGCTGCGATTTAACTAAATCATAAGTACTAGAAAATAAAGAAAATATAACCAAACCATTACAAATAATTGGTTTTATTACTATTTAAAAAACTCTTGCAACAAAATCATGTCAATCCTTTAAATGGTAAATAACTTGAATCAACACAGTTCGATACATAGGAACGCCTATAGTCTCATGGGGCACATACATTGTAGCTCCGAACCGACACGGTCAGTTTGACAGAAGTGCCTTTCTTCGAGTCGGTTCAGTCAGATTATCAGTGCAACGGCACTTCCAAGTACCTAGTTCCAATTCGGCACGCAAACTTGCTAGAGTGTCTTTCTCTGTCTCGGCATGGTCATTTTGTGGTAGGTACAAGCTCCAAATTTAGAGGGCCAGTTTGACAGAAGTACTGTCTAAGCTCCAAATTCAAACGGATAATCTGGCAGAAGTTCATAGCCCCGAACTGGAATGGCCAGTCTGTGACAGTGCACAGCTCCGAATCGTCATGGTCAGTTTTGACTTTAGTACCTAGCTTAGAATCGGCCTTGCCAGTTTGACAAACGTGCTTCGATCCGAATCGGCATGGACTGTTTGAGAGATTTCCCTCAACATGGTCAGTTTGAGGGGAGTTCAATGACTTGAATCAGCACGGCCTTTACCGAGTCTCTTCGATATGAGAAATAGTTTTCATCCAAAAGACTCTAAGAGCCGTCAGTCGTGAAACATTCTAGGAGTTCCTGCTGATTTTCCCTGCATGCGTATTCATCAGTTACCAGCATCTTTAATATTATAGTTCATAATTTACCTGAATTCAAGCCGCGTTCAGGGTGAATCAAATTTTAAAACAACAGTACAGGTCATAAAGAATTGACCATTACTAATCTAACCTCCTCGTCCAATCTAAAGCTGAACAGTCTTATACCTCGGTTCCCTGACCATTCCTTAAGCGAAACGCGTCCCCTTGTATTTCTTCATGTCCGTTGTTGTTGGAACCGGAAGTCCTGTGATGGGCGGAAGTATAACGTTAAGTACAGGGTGAAGTGTGGGTTCGTGCCGGGAGATGTGACGAAGAGGCTGTCCTACCTCGGAAATATTCCCTATCCGAGGGGTCCGCTTGTTGCATTTGTTCGTCAAAGACGGCAACGTTATCTTGTTCATTTTATGGCCCAGCTTGTCCTGTGTAAATTGCTCTGAGCGGTTAGTGCTGTCCAGATATCCTTTTGTGACGTTTCTCTTCTTATCTACGGACATCCCAGCCACACTTATCGGAGGAAGTTCTGAAACAGCAGGTTTCGGTGCTACCGCATTACGCCAATAGTCATTTGTGTTTGTTAAGAATTTCTCTGTCATTTCTTGTTTTGGCGGTATTGCCTTCTTGTCATTCCGAGACATATTTTCAGTATTTGTTGAGCTGATCGGAGGAAGTTTCATTGCATTCCTATCTTTTAGAATGTCCTTTCTCTCAATATTGTTCCAATTTGTTTGGCTTACGATCCTGTCATACTTCTTTGTTTTCCTTTTCCCGAAGGACACCGCGTTCCCGTTAATTGGTGGTAAGACGCCGTTCTTCTGCTCGCCTAAGATTTCTTCATCAGAGAATTTTGAGTCCACAACATCACTACTGAATCGGTTGAAGAAGACATCATTTTTTCTATAAGCCTCGTATTCTGCATTCTTCTGATCAATCTCAGCTAGAAGCTGGTTAATGCCCGCGTCACGAGTTGTAGCAACAGGAGGAAGGTTTGATGCTGTAGTGGTTTTTCTTGTCTTATTTTCTTCGATCTGCTTCTGAGCATCATTAATCACTTCCGGTCTCTTCTCATGTTGTCTGCTTATTCGAGGTAAAGCCGGTGCGGGCTTCCCTTTAGCATACAGTCCGGGAGTCAAGGTCTCGCGATTCTCTAGGAAAACGGAAATTTCTGTTTTCTCAGAATTTACATCAGTCTTGGCCTTTTTCTTGGCTCGACGACCCTTTTTGACCTTGCGGTCGACTTTTTCCTCTTCTCCAGTAACTGTCGTTTCCTGTGGTTTGGATTTATCGCCACTTTCACTTTTGGACGATTGCCTAGGAGGGAACTCTCTCGTGTGAAGGTTCAATTTAACAGCCATTTCGGCACTTCTTCGTTTTCCCGCCAAAGTCATGGCGCCATTATACCCAGGAGGAAAGTTACCAGCTTTGCCTCTTGGTTGCCTCTTGATACCAAATTGAAGATCTGGAATGACAGGAAGCAAACAGTCTTCGATAAATACCAAACTACAGTTTTTCCTAACAGTATCTATGTTATAACTGTGTATGTGTTTCTACAAATACATTTACTTCATACCTCAGGGTTCTGTTTCGCGAATGTCGTTAATTTGCTAGACAGCTGATCTCTCGAATTCAAATGGCTTGTGATTATCAATCGGGACAAAGTTGTGGACGGACTAAAGGAAAACTTTCAGTTAAGATTTTAATTTACACAGCATCTTATTTGTCATCCTCGGCTTAGTTAAGCTAAGAAACTGTAGTAAAAACTGAACCGGGTGCTGTATTGACTGACAAAAACTCAAGCTTTATAACTACACAACGATAACTGTCAATATTTGTTCAAGTTTCGCCCTCACAAATCTTCTTTAGCGAGATTTTTCCTTAACTTTCTAACACGGAATAAAGCATCACTTAATCTAAAGCACATCCTAACTTAAGTTGTGGAACTCTAGTGAAACCCGGGTTAAGACCCAGTTCCACAAACGCTCCTAACTAACTCCAGCGATGTTTTTCAACAGAAACAAAATAGGCCTAATTTCATTAACTACCGGAGTCAGCTGTTTGATATTGTTGTACACTCTGCAAACGGGACAAAGTCTTTGCCTTACTTCTGACCACATATTTAATACGCATGTATGGGTACGTATGTGTAATCGAGCCTATGGACTTTTCTACCGACCAAGGCACTGGGCTCAGACTAATTATTCCACAAGCTACGGGACTAATACAATGATGTCAAGAACAGATTAAACAGTAGGATCCGTATAAGGGAGACAAGTGTTCCCCAATTACCCCCGGATATCTATATACACAAGTAACATGTTTTGTTGATGGAAAAGACTTGTGACACTTGGGTTAAGTTAAGTAGAACAATATTTTGCATTAAGTTCGAATTCTTACCGAATCGTTGAGAGTAAGGAGCTGTGATCTCAAGTCTGTCCAGAGAGTCGGGAGTGTTAGCGCTGGTCAACCTTCGGACATTTCCCCCGGTCAAGATTTCAGGGAAGGCAGCTGTAAGAAGACCTGGACCCTCGGGCATGCTTCGTCCACATTTTCGGCCCTGAACGTGACTTGCGTTCCTCAGAGACGACAAACCTCGGTTCTCGTGGATATCGGAATGGTTTATCATCGTCTTGAATAGAGTATCTCGTGAAATTAAAAGTATTTTGAAGGAGCGAATATTTGCGTGTTGTTCTTTTCTGGTAGCCAGGGAAAGAATGGTGGGTTAATTGTTCCCCGAAGTTATGACGTCATCAGGATTGTGACGTCACAGTAATTGTTAATCTCTTGCGTCAACATTGAAGGCGCTACAAAAATGGCGACATAAACTTCGGTATGCCAGATACTATACTCTCAGATACCAATGTAAACGTCCGGAGCATTTCAATGAAATCTTGCCAAACGTTTGCTATGCTCATTCTACTGTGGGGAAAGACTCTCGACGGTGTCTGGTCAGTCGATATCGGAAACACTCGGACTTATAGCATAATCAACTTAAATTTTCTGTTTTGTTTTATATGTCGGATATTACAGTGTATTGAATAACAATGGAAAGCGTCTACAAATGTTTGTTGTTAAAGTTTTGAATGTTTTTTGAATAAGTGTTTGGTTATTAAAATGAATGTTACTTTAATGGCATATGTGTCACCCTGTTGGTTTTCCGCATGCTCTTCAGAAATATGATGCTGCAAACACTTGCTGCGATTTAACTAAATCATAAGTACTAGAAAATAAAGAAAATATAACCAAACCATTACAAATAATTGGTTTTATTACTATTTAAAAAACTCTTGCAACAAAATCATGTCAATCCTTTAAATGGTAAATAACTTGAATCAACACAGTTCGATACATAGGAACGCCTATAGTCTCATGGGGCACATACATTGTAGCTCCGAACCGACACGGTCAGTTTGACAGAAGTGCCTTTCTTCGAGTCGGTTCAGTCAGATTATCAGTGCAACGGCACTTCCAAGTACCTAGTTCCAATTCGGCACGCAAACTTGCTAGAGTGTCTTTCTCTGTCTCGGCATGGTCATTTTGTGGTAGGTACAAGCTCCAAATTTAGAGGGCCAGTTTGACAGAAGTACTGTCTAAGCTCCAAATTCAAACGGATAATCTGGCAGAAGTTCATAGCCCCGAACTGGAATGGCCAGTCTGTGACAGTGCACAGCTCCGAATCGTCATGGTCAGTTTTGACTTTAGTACCTAGCTTAGAATCGGCCTTGCCAGTTTGACAAACGTGCTTCGATCCGAATCGGCATGGACTGTTTGAGAGATTTCCCTCAACATGGTCAGTTTGAGGGGAGTTCAATGACTTGAATCAGCACGGCCTTTACCGAGTCTCTTCGATATGAGAAATAGTTTTCATCCAAAAGACTCTAAGAGCCGTCAGTCGTGAAACATTCTAGGAGTTCCTGCTGATTTTCCCTGCATGCGTATTCATCAGTTACCAGCATCTTTAATATTATAGTTCATAATTTACCTGAATTCAAGCCGCGTTCAGGGTGAATCAAATTTTAAAACAACAGTACAGGTCATAAAGAATTGACCATTACTAATCTAACCTCCTCGTCCAATCTAAAGCTGAACAGTCTTATACCTCGGTTCCCTGACCATTCCTTAAGCGAAACGCGTCCCCTTGTATTTCTTCATGTCCGTTGTTGTTGGAACCGGAAGTCCTGTGATGGGCGGAAGTATAACGTTAAGTACAGGGTGAAGTGTGGGTTCGTGCCGGGAGATGTGACGAAGAGGCTGTCCTACCTCGGAAATATTCCCTATCCGAGGGGTCCGCTTGTTGCATTTGTTCGTCAAAGACGGCAACGTTATCTTGTTCATTTTATGGCCCAGCTTGTCCTGTGTAAATTGCTCTGAGCGGTTAGTGCTGTCCAGATATCCTTTTGTGACGTTTCTCTTCTTATCTACGGACATCCCAGCCACACTTATCGGAGGAAGTTCTGAAACAGCAGGTTTCGGTGCTACCGCATTACGCCAATAGTCATTTGTGTTTGTTAAGAATTTCTCTGTCATTTCTTGTTTTGGCGGTATTGCCTTCTTGTCATTCCGAGACATATTTTCAGTATTTGTTGAGCTGATCGGAGGAAGTTTCATTGCATTCCTATCTTTTAGAATGTCCTTTCTCTCAATATTGTTCCAATTTGTTTGGCTTACGATCCTGTCATACTTCTTTGTTTTCCTTTTCCCGAAGGACACCGCGTTCCCGTTAATTGGTGGTAAGACGCCGTTCTTCTGCTCGCCTAAGATTTCTTCATCAGAGAATTTTGAGTCCACAACATCACTACTGAATCGGTTGAAGAAGACATCATTTTTTCTATAAGCCTCGTATTCTGCATTCTTCTGATCAATCTCAGCTAGAAGCTGGTTAATGCCCGCGTCACGAGTTGTAGCAACAGGAGGAAGGTTTGATGCTGTAGTGGTTTTTCTTGTCTTATTTTCTTCGATCTGCTTCTGAGCATCATTAATCACTTCCGGTCTCTTCTCATGTTGTCTGCTTATTCGAGGTAAAGCCGGTGCGGGCTTCCCTTTAGCATACAGTCCGGGAGTCAAGGTCTCGCGATTCTCTAGGAAAACGGAAATTTCTGTTTTCTCAGAATTTACATCAGTCTTGGCCTTTTTCTTGGCTCGACGACCCTTTTTGACCTTGCGGTCGACTTTTTCCTCTTCTCCAGTAACTGTCGTTTCCTGTGGTTTGGATTTATCGCCACTTTCACTTTTGGACGATTGCCTAGGAGGGAACTCTCTCGTGTGAAGGTTCAATTTAACAGCCATTTCGGCACTTCTTCGTTTTCCCGCCAAAGTCATGGCGCCATTATACCCAGGAGGAAAGTTACCAGCTTTGCCTCTTGGTTGCCTCTTGATACCAAATTGAAGATCTGGAATGACAGGAAGCAAACAGTCTTCGATAAATACCAAACTACAGTTTTTCCTAACAGTATCTATGTTATAACTGTGTATGTGTTTCTACAAATACATTTACTTCATACCTCAGGGTTCTGTTTCGCGAATGTCGTTAATTTGCTAGACAGCTGATCTCTCGAATTCAAATGGCTTGTGATTATCAATCGGGACAAAGTTGTGGACGGACTAAAGGAAAACTTTCAGTTAAGATTTTAATTTACACAGCATCTTATTTGTCATCCTCGGCTTAGTTAAGCTAAGAAACTGTAGTAAAAACTGAACCGGGTGCTGTATTGACTGACAAAAACTCAAGCTTTATAACTACACAACGATAACTGTCAATATTTGTTCAAGTTTCGCCCTCACAAATCTTCTTTAGCGAGATTTTTCCTTAACTTTCTAACACGGAATAAAGCATCACTTAATCTAAAGCACATCCTAACTTAAGTTGTGGAACTCTAGTGAAACCCGGGTTAAGACCCAGTTCCACAAACGCTCCTAACTAACTCCAGCGATGTTTTTCAACAGAAACAAAATAGGCCTAATTTCATTAACTACCGGAGTCAGCTGTTTGATATTGTTGTACACTCTGCAAACGGGACAAAGTCTTTGCCTTACTTCTGACCACATATTTAATACGCATGTATGGGTACGTATGTGTAATCGAGCCTATGGACTTTTCTACCGACCAAGGCACTGGGCTCAGACTAATTATTCCACAAGCTACGGGACTAATACAATGATGTCAAGAACAGATTAAACAGTAGGATCCGTATAAGGGAGACAAGTGTTCCCCAATTACCCCCGGATATCTATATACACAAGTAACATGTTTTGTTGATGGAAAAGACTTGTGACACTTGGGTTAAGTTAAGTAGAACAATATTTTGCATTAAGTTCGAATTCTTACCGAATCGTTGAGAGTTAGGAGCTGTGATCTCAAGTCTGTCCAGAGAGTCGGGCGTGTTAGCGCTGGTCAACCTTCGGACATTTCCCCCGGTCAAGATTTCAGGGAAGGTAGCTGTGAGAAGACCTGAACCCTCGGGCATGCTTCGTCCACATTTTCGGCCCTGAACGTGATTTGCGTTCCTCAGAGACGACAAACCTCGGTTCTCGTGGATATCGGAATGGTTTATCATCGTCTTGAATAGAGTATCTCGTGAAATTAAAAGTATTTTGAAGGAGCGATTATTTGCGTGTTGTTCTTTTCTGGTAGCCAGGGAAAGAATGGTGGGTTAATTGTTTCCAGAAGTTATGACGTCATCAGGATTGTGACGTCACAGTAATTGTTAATCTCTTGCGTCAACATTGAAAGCGCTACAAAAATGGCGACATAAACTTCGGTATGCCAGATACTGTACTCTCAGATACCAATGTAAACGTTTCATTTTGCTTGTTAAGCGTTTTTTAAATCAAATTACAAACACACGACCAAAACATGCAATCAGATTAAAATCATCTGTTAGGCTCCGTTAACTTCGTACTACGCCAGAACCATGAAACAGATGGTCAAAACATGATATTTGCATTAAAAATATACCTTTTTCATTCAAAAATGGAATTACATACATTCACCTCAAACTAGTTTTTACGTTTTAGAAATTAGGAGATGAAAGTATGGTATTAATACCAAGCACAGATGTGGTGGTGTGCTGTGTTTGTATCATCAAATCAACGTTTTGGATCAGGACTAGGCTTGAACATCCGGGTATACGTTTTAAATTTTTCATCTGTCTTTTTTCCCCACACTATTAAAAATGCACATTTCACAATGTCATGAGTGTTAACATCGTGTTTTTAGATGCATGCTCTTATTTATCATTTTGTAAGTAGCGCGTATTTGAATGAAAAGCGCATGTTTTTGAGATGTAAAACATTGAATATTGCAAAGCTTAACACGCCTTAGTCTGCGTCCTCCCAAAAGGGGAATGACACACTCTATATATGTATACATGTACTAGTTTATGTAACGTAGAGATCATGGGGCGAGGTTCTGTACTACGCCTCTATTGTTCTATATACGCTGTCTCCAGCACACATACAACTTACCTTTTTACCCCCACCATTCCGATCACAATTTTCGAGGATAAAGTTCACTTATAATTTGTTCCAACTGTAGATTTCGTTTCTTTCTTTAAATTAAGTCCATGAACTAGTTGGACCCTAAACAACTGCATAGGGCATCACGTTTTGACACACAACTTTTGTTATTTTTTCGAAAGTGAACACCCGAAGCAGTTTCAAAAATGTATGATAAACGTTCCAGATCGGTACCTCAAGTTATATATATGCCAGTGTTAAGCTACCG